CGCAAAAACAAGCGCTGAGGTGGGGAATTCAGAAAAGGTATCCTAAAAAAGTTTGAGTGAGAGTAGTGCGGTTTTTAGAGTAAGACGATCGGCGAGCAGTGAGGCAAAATAGTGAAAAATTAAAATGTTTAACCTGTATTAATTAGCAGGTAATTATTCTCTAAGTACTTTGTTGTTAATTGTTCTATGTAATCTTATAATTGTGATGGTTATAGATGTTTAATGATAACAATTCTTTGTACGTTTAGCCGCCATTGCTTTATGTTCAAGGGTATATACCTGTATATAAATTGTTACAATTATTATTAGCGATTGCTCAATATTTATTACATGTTAAAATATATTGAGGTGTATGGAAATGTGATGTATTTAATAACATAAATATTGGTTTGGAAATTAAAAAAATAAAACAGAAAGTTAATGTATTGAACTGGCAGTAATTAGTGTTGTATATAATCATTGTATAAGTAAATATAGTAATATATTCCCCATGTAAATTTTGTTAACCAGTAAAATGAGACGAAAGATAGTGTGGACATCTATCGGCTGTCTCCTTATTAATATTTCTGAAATTTGTGCTAAAGAACTAACTGTAGGTCTAGGCGGTCTCCACTATACTGTTATTATACAAGGGGTATAGTAATTCGTTTGTAGATGGCTCTAGGTAAGACTGGAATAAAAAAAGTCACCACTATGNTGCGCCACTTAAATTTCCGATTACTGTTTCGGTCTTTTTAAAAAATAATTTTTAAAATTAAATTTTATTGTTGAATGATAATTACAGTGTCAGATTCTAATGCAGACTGATTTAAACGGCTATTGCCGTCCACTTGTCCAAAATTGATGACACGGCATTCCTAGGCTGTCCAGCTCATGTTAGCAATGTCGATGCTCCCATTTCCTTAACTCTACAGGTAGTTGACCCTATATAACTTTTATATATATATATCCTTTAACATATTCTTGTTATCGTTGTTTTTATAAAGACTTTTTATACGAATGTTTTTTACCTTCTTTGTATCAGTATTGAAATAAAGTTAGTTATTAGTTAGCCTTCGACTAATTTACCTCGAGTTATTACAGAAAGCACGGTAAATAAAACATCCAATGAAAGTCTTCTATCTCAAAAACGCCAGAAAAAAGTTGTTTTGCCAGACACAAAAGATATTGTGAAATTAAATAATTATTTACAAAAAAAAAATCGAAATTATTACTACAATGATCTAATAGAAAATGGGTTTTCGTTTAAATCTTGGATGCAGCTAACAAAGTATACTTTGGTTTCCATTTTATTTTTTAATGGAAAAAGACCAGGAGAATTAGAAAGGGCTTATGTGACAGATTACAAAAATTTTCAAAAAATTGAAAAGGAAAAGAATCCAGAAATTTATAATTCATTGTCTGAAGACCGGAAAAGAGCGGCTCATGATTATGTACGCTTTTCCATAAGGGGAAAATTGGCAAGAGGAGTTCCTGTGCTTTTGCACATAAACATGAAAGTTGTATTGATAAATTACTGGAATATCGTGAAAATGCAGGAGTTCTTTCCGAGAATCCATACATATTTGCACGTCCGCAATCCAATGGAGGATTACATACAAATTTTAAATACATAAGAGCGGGAACTTTAATGGCCAAATATGCAGAATGCAACACTCGTAATCCATTATCACTTAGAGCTACGCAACTTAGAAAGCATATTGCTACTAAATCGGCATTACTTAATTTGAATAAAGATCAAGTCTACTGTCTTCAAAATTTTTTGGGGCATGAGGGAAAAATACATAATCAAATTTATCGCCAACCACTGGAACATAGGGAAATTGTAAATGTTTCAAAATTACTAGAAATAGGTCAAGGACAAAATGAACATGTTGAGGATAGTACTGTTGAAACTCCGAATGTTACGCTTATGGTTACAGGGAGCACTAACGAAAATTCTCTTGAAGATTCAGATCTGGCCGTTCTGGGTATAGTAGGCAGCGATGACTCTGAAATCTTTTCATCGACAATAGAAAAAGAAGCATCCCAAAGGAAAAGATACAGGTTGCTAGGTAATTATTATCATTATTATCATTAAACGGGAAAAACCGTAAAGATGTAAAATAAAAATATGTTAGACTGTTATACAGAGCGTCCAGTAAAGAATGTGACATACTTCAAGAGCAGCTACTTTGGGTCAAAATAAACTGATTTAGATCAAGTTACCGTAGTTCAATTTTGCTTCCTTAAAAAGTTATTGACCTTGAAAATGTATGTTTTATTTAATTTCGTGTGAATAACTTAATTTTTAAGTCATTTCAATAATCCCACTAACTAATGTCTCTAGATTTCAAAGAAATTCAATATTGCAATATTCAAAATATTAAATATAAAAATAGTTTCCAAGGTCCATATTTTTTTAAGGAAGCAAAATTCATTCTTCTAAGGTAATTGATCTAAATCAGTTTTTGACCCAAAGCAGCTACTCTTGAGGTATATCACATTCTTTATGGGACACCCTTTATAAAGTATGGACAAAAATTTTGGAACACTAGTTTTAAATTTAAACGAATAAATACAATTTTTCCTCGTCTTGAAAATTTCAAGAGAAAAATATTCAATTATGTTAAATTTTTGTGCTACAACATAAAAAATTACTATACAGAGCGCCCTATTTCTTGATGGTTACATGGCTAACTTTGTCATTTGAAAAGATGGAAAAATAGTTAAATAGTCAAAGTGCAGATTTTTATGAGAAATTACATATTATAATAAATATAAACTATTTACAAAAAAAAAGAAAAACTGAACTTTTCTATTATCCCCCGTAGCTCTGTTATTTGAACAGTTACAGACAAATTGTCTAGATGTTTTTTGTAGTATTTTTGATCACGATTAACGCCAAATAGTTAGTTTTTGGACAACTCTTCAAATACCGTAATATGGAAGTTAAAATCATTTTTTTTAAATGGAAAGACTAGTTGGCTGTGACTTAAATTGAAAGATATTTTTTTTTCTTATATGCCATGTAAAATAGTCTTATTATTATTAAATCACAAGTGCCATGAGATAAAAGGATTGTGACATAACAAAACCATAGAAATACTACCACAGTAAATGTTCAAAATAACCTCCTTATTCAACGCATAACATACACTGTTACACTTCTCAATACTTTAGTCAATGGATCTCTTTTATTGAATCTTGAATTTTAATATTTAATTCATCAGTACCTATTTCTTGAAGTTATTTTATGATGGTGCCCCAAAACGTAATTCACGTGAAGTGAGAACATATTTTGATAATATCATCGGAAACAATATGGATATCGACTGGCCCGCTCGACCTCCAGATTTGACTCCCTAAGATTTCTTTCTTTGGCGGTCATTAAAAGATAAAATTTATAAAACCACCCCGAAAGATACTGATGAATTAAAAATTAAAATTCAAGATTCTGTAAGAGAAATTGATGTATACAATAAATAAAATATTGAGAAGTGTAACGAAACGGTGTGTTATGTGTTGAATAGGGAGGAGGTCATTTTGAACATTTAATACAGTAGTATTTCTATGGTTTTGTTATGTCGCAGTTCTTTTATTTCATAGCACCTGTGATTCAATAATAATAAAACTTAAAAATGCTTATATCTCCTTTATTTAAATTTGAAAATATAGACTATTTTACATGGCGTAACAGAGAAAAAAAATATATTTCAATTAAAGAAATAGTCAACTACTTTTCCCATTTAAAAAAATTGATCTTGACTTCCGTATTACGGCATCTGAATAGTTGCCCAAAAACTAACTATTTAGCATTAATCTATACCAAAAATAGTACAAAAAACATCTAGAAACTTTTTCTCTTAAGTTTTCAAACAATGTTCGGTTTTTTGTTTTGTGTAAATAACCTTTTAACCACACCTCCTATGCAATTTTTCTTTATAAAAGTGAATTTGTCACAAAAATCTGCACTATTTTGCCTATTTAACCATTTTTCTATCTTTTCAAATAACAAAGTAACCATGTAAGCGCCAAGAAATAGGGCGCTCTGTATTCTTATTTCAGAAAGAAATAGGGATAGCCATTAAAAAAAATAAATTAATATCCCTGATCAATGGTATGCCACTACAAGTCATTTAACTATTTCAAAAGATGTTGAATTTAATTTAAAAATTGATGACCCAAACTTTTTGTCCACTCTATATAAAAAAAACATACTATTCCAAAACAACATATTTTTCCCTCAATAGTTTTTCTTACTGCATTATTTTAGACGTTGATTCGGGGTGCATTAAAAGAAGAACTTGGACTACTCCTGAGAAAGATGAGACTACAAAAATTTTTTCCCACTACATCAAAAGCAACGCATTGCCATCAACAGCAAATTGTATTAAACTCGTACAAAACAATGCAATTCTAAAGCATAGAACTACTCAACAGATCCGTTCATGGATCCAAAACCATATTACGAGAAAGTATAATATTAGTAAGTATCAATTACTAAATATAGTAGGCTCCCTCTTAACTGCCTTCACATTAACTGGTTAATTTTTTTAGATGGCTTCACTTTAATTATGTTATTTAAGGACATGTGTATGTAAAATCCCACTATTTGTACTTTGTATGTTTCATCAACATTATTATTTATTATTTGCATTTTAACTTGATCTTTGAACAGACTCAAGGATAAGCAATACCATAGTATTACTTTAAGGTCGGTGGCCAAAAATGAAGACATCCTACAGAGCAGTTTGTTGTGTTAAGTATGCACGGATTGCAACTCCATAAGCGTATCAATTAAGATGGTGCCAAATTTGAAAAAAAAAGAAATACATCAATACTCTATAACATCTATTAATTTTTTGTAAAATTATTTTTTTTATATCAGGAATTTTGTTTTTTCTTCGTATGGATATTTCACTATGTAATGTAGCAAATTGGGGTTGTTGTTTAAATAAGGGATAGTCTATAGTAACCTATCTTTATTAATTAAATTAATTAAAATACAATATAATTACTATCCTGCATGCTTCATCAGCCATACTTCTGCTTTCCTCTTGACTCGCCTTTCCCTTTACATCGTGGAATATAATTTCATCCCTGACTTCATTCATTGCTACGAGGGCATAGAAGGGCCACAACTACAAAAATAAAATAAAATTTTAAAATTGCGACAACTCAGAATTCTGACTTATTTATATCTTAGAATTCTGTGTTTTAAGTCAGAATTCTGAGATAAAAGTCGAAATTGTAGAAGATTAGCTGGTTACTGTTAATTATCGATGTGTATCATCTATACTGTCTGTCCCAAATTCGGGTCTCTATATTGGCATCTCAGTTATTATTATAAGGAATAGAAAAAAGTTTAAACAGGGAAAGATTTAGAGAATTTTATGCTGATTTCAATTGGATAATACGGGAAAAAACATTAGAATTTGTCCTGGAAAGATGTTAAAAACGTTGATTTAAAAAAAAAATTGTTTTTATTTTTTATAGGCATATGACATACCATTGAAAAGGAAATTTTGAGCTTTATAATATGAGCCGAAAATCCAAGATGGCGGTCATAAGAAAAACAATGTTGCAGTTGACAACTCGAAAACGAATGACGATCTGGAATTTTTGTTGGTGTCAAATTGTTCGTCTTTGAAAAGTGTCTTATTAATGTAAAAGTTTTATAAGTATCAGATTAACCGCTGGAAAGTTATTAGCCAAAAACGAAATCGTCAATTTTTCGTTCTTTTATTTTAAATAAAAAACAACTCACAACAACTTTCAAGGCGGCATTGAAATCTGCATAAAATTCTCTAAAACTTAGCCCATTTAAGCTTTTTCCTATCTCTTATAATAACTGCCAATATAGAGACTCGAATTTGGGACAGACGGTATAGATGATACATAGAACATAGACAACTAATGGTACCAACTAGTCTTCTAAAATTGTGACTTTCGCGATCGCAATTTTAAAATTTTATTTTATTTTTGTAGTTGTGGCCCTTCTACGCCTTTGTACATTGCACTCTATTTTAGCATTTTTATATTTCACTATTAAAAGCAACAGGTCAAGTTGAATAATTTTTTATAATTTGTTGTTCCAGTCATCTCTTTTCTAGAAAACATGCTCTTATATACCTTGAAATACCTTTACTTTTACTTTCCACAGCTTCTAGGTATCTGTAAAAAAAAGAAACAATTATCAGAGGAAGACTTTAAATTTTTGGTTAGGTATATTTTTGTTAGTTTTTGTTAAATATTTTTGGTATCCAACTAGGGATTCAATATATGTACACTTACCTTAATTAGCCTGTAATTTATTTATTTGTGTCAGTTTGTATATATTTATTCCTATGTTTCTCACTAACTTTGATAGTTTATTTTGTCGCTCTCCTCTCGATTCGACGTTACTTCTCTTAGCACTTTGGGCTTGGTACTTCTATTGTAGTACATATTTCGTACTTCTTAGTGTTACATTTAATTTTCGTTGATAGAAGGCACCACGAATCTTTATTCTGAAAAATATTTTGGATTTGAAATGTATATTGGTTGCGATAAGTTTTTCAAACTTTTTTTTTTATTTTGTTTGCTTTTCTTTATCGACAGTACTAGAAGCTTCTCCAAATTGCTTCTGTGTAGGTGTAGTTAATTTATATTGTTGATCTTTTGTGGTAAGGAGAGTATTGGTCTGTCATCGTAGATTGATGGTTTCAGTTATGGAAACTTTTTTGGTATATTTTTGGAGCTGCTTTAACAAGTTCCTGGAGCCTCTTTGCCACTTCTGCGAGATGATTTATGTTTTTCACGTACATCATATTCCATCTGACCACAAGTTGGAGTTATCATTTGGAAGAGAAAAAAGTCATTTTATATTTTGGTTAGAAATAAACTAAACGACACAATTTAGGACACCAATTTTTCTTTTTGGTCATAAAGGAATTGCATGACAGTAGTCAGTTTTTTAGTTGAATATTTTGCTTATGACCAAACTAACTATCCCAACGTTTTGACATTAAGTAATTTTAATTTTTTTCCTTATCTATGTGCTTGGGTATAATTGCTCAAACAAAATATCGTAAAAATCGTTAATTTGGTGGTAAGCGGTTCAGATGACGGAGAGATTTCTAGGTACATTAAATCCTGCTGTAGAATCCCCACTTCCATTCGTTGCAGCTGCTTGCATGCTAAACCTTTTTATTACATTTAGTACTTGTATTCTGTAACAGGCCATTTTGTTATCTGGTCGGAAGTCTGATCCTAAGGTGTTCAGTTAACAGGGAATCTACTGCATTTTAAAACTTACACACCTACATAATTATTTGGATTGATATTTTATTTTAATGTAAAATCAGATATTTAAAATACAGGGTGTCCTAAATTTGAACCATATCATTAGGATATTATTATAACGTCTTAGAGAGGACACCTTGTACATACTTAATATTTCGTATTTATTTTGAATAAAAAAAAAAATATTCAGAATTCAGGGCTGGTTCTTTTCTTCAGTCACTACATACAGGGTGGCCCACCCCAGACGGATTCCCCTGTAATTCTGGTAATATCAATAATATAAAAAAGTGTCTCAAATAAAAGTTGCACCAAATCAATTTCTTTACATTTCAAAATTATTTTGGATTATACAGAATGTCCCATTTGTTCTGGGCGTTACCTAACTTAATTTTTTTAAATAGAACACCCCATATATTACTTTTTTTTTACTTCTCGTTGAATTTAAGGCCCACTTTAATAAATAAATAGTGGGTCTAAGTCGCACCGTTTCGGTACTACTTGGCGTTTTTTTTTTAAATTGACGTTTGCAGCCACTCCAAAAACATCAAATATCTCCCAAACTAAATCTGCTAAGATGCAGTTTTCACCATTCATTCAGGCATGAAGAAATTTATCTCCTCATTACTAATTTAACACATTTCAACTAAGCGATTGGTAAATACGGCGTTAGAACTTCAGTCATATATATATGGCCGCTAAGCTAAGATATTTATTATTACATTCAATATATTTTTCTAATATTCAGTTAACTTTTCATTAAACAACACTGAAACATCATTTTCACAGACTATTTTTATTTTAAAACACCGTTACCATGCGTTACCCATTCCTTAACGCGGTAAAAACTAAAAATATAACAAAACGTGAATAACACCTAAACTGTTAGAGATAACCACTAATATACCTTAATAAAATAAAAATTAAGTTATCTGTGATTGAAGTTCTTGAACTTCTAACGCCCGTATTTACCAATCCCTTACTTGAAATGTGTTAAATTAGTAATGAAAAGATAGATTTCTTCATGCATGAACGAATGGTGAAAACCGCATCTTTTTAGCAGATATAGTTTGGCAGATATTTGATGCTTTTGGAAAGGCTGCAAATACCAATTTAAAAAAAAACGTCAAGTAGCTCCGAAACGATGCGACTTAGATCCACTATTTATTTATCAAAGTGGGCCTTAAATTCAACAGGAAATAAAAAAATGCAATAATATACGGAGTGTTCCATTTAAAAATATGAAGTGAGGTAACGCCCAGAACAAATGTGACATACCGTATAACCCAAAATAATTTTAAAATGTGAAGAAATTGATTTGATGCAACTTTTATTTGAGACACTTTTTTATATACTGATATAACCAGAATTACAAAGGAATCCGTCTGGGGTGGGACACCCTTATTTTTTAAGAAAAACAAAATTATCATAATTTTAAAATTTCACATATAATAGCTTATTTAGAGCTAAACTATATTTTCTAATATTGAAATTTGATCACACGCTTAGAAGAATGTAATTTTTAAAGGACCTAATTAATTTTAAATTTTTTAGAGCCGGTTACTAGAAGATCATGGGAGTCATCTGAACGAGAGGCATTAAAGCAAGTGTTTTGTCCTTCTTCACAAGAAATAGAGGAAGTTATAAGTAAATTTCCAGAATTACAAAATAGAACCCCAACACAACTTAAGAGTCAGATACAATATCAAAGAAAATTGAAGTCTTTTTAAAACCACGTTAACTGAAATAACTGAAATAAACTAAAACTTTAAAATACATGATGTTTTATTTACTGACATTTTTTAAAATTTGACAAATTAGGAAATTATAGGTCTTTGAAAAACAATGTCACCTTCTTATACAAAGTATTCTGGAAATAAGTGCAAAAAATCAAACTAATTCATTGGCCGTTTTAAGGGGGGTCCTTCATGTAAAGTTTTTGATTGAAGTACAGGATGTTCAATGGCAGTAGTAAAATGGGGTTACAATTTTCTTTCACAAAAACTACTACAATGAAAATTTTCAAATTTGGTACAGTAGTTATACCCATCAAATGTTACTTTAATAACCTATTTCCTCTTTTCCTGCTTCACCTTAAGGAAGTTAAATAGCCTACTCCTTTTCCGTCAGGACTTTTTTACCTTTGTAAATTTCAAAAAGAAAAAATTCCATCATAGAGTTTCCTTCACTTTGAAACTTTTTTGTCTCTACAAAAATTTTCGTAAGTTGCCTACTTTTTGAGCAAAAAAATATTTTTTTCAGGTATTCAAAATTTTAAGCCGATGATTTAATACATTTTTATTTGAAGGCTTGTGTCATTTTTGTAGAGACAAAAGCGTTTCTAAATGAAAGGAACTCTGTGATGGAATTTTTTCTTTTTGAAGTTTACAAAGGTAAAAAAAGTTCTGACAGGACAGAAACAATGAAAGGGGTAGGCTATTTAATTCCTTAGGGTGAAGCAGGAAAAGGGAAAATAGGTTATTAAAGTAACTACCAAATTGGAATATGTTCACTTTGTAGTAGTTTTTGAGAAAAAAAATCGAAACCCTGTTTTATTCCTACCATTTAACGCCCTATAACTTTGTAAGACTTCAATAGAAAAATTTTACATGAAGGACCCCCTAAACTGGCCAAGGAATTCATCATTTCATTTTTTGCACTTATTTCTGGAACACCCTGTATACATTTTATATCTGGGGCTTCGTACGGAAGTTGCAAAGAGTTAAAGTTTGCAGAAGAATGAAGGTGTATTTTTTTTTAATATCTCAAACTAATGTAGTTATTAAAACGATATTTGGTATCCATATCTCCAACACTGGTTCTTCGATTAAGTTGATATTTGTTCATTTTATGGCAACTT